AAAAAATATATCACAACTATGATAATATGTATAATTAACTATGTTTTAGTTGAATTTATGAACTGTTACAATTGACCCCGTAAGTGGGGACAATTGTAACAAGTGCACGACTGTCAAAAATTGCTAATAACTAATATAATAACATTTAAAATAAGGTATTTATTTTTATTTTCTAGTAGAGGATAGTCTACTTTACTCGTCTGTCAATTAATATTAATAATATATTGGATTTTTTGTTAGTTAAAAATAGTTAAGTAAAAAATGTTACAATTGACCCCACTCTCCCCTATAGTTTATAAATAAAGTATATTCTAATTTTATATACTAGTTTTTTTTCTAATTCACATTTATATTTTATTTCTACTTTGCCCCGGATATATTGACTGGGCCGCAAAAATGCTCAGCTCGGGCCGCGAGTTTGACACCCCTGCTTTAGAGAATATCGTATATTGAGAGGAGAATGACATTAATTCAAATGCAAGTTCGCCGGGACCATGAAACAGGATCGCGATAAAGGGAGTTATTGTTTAATGGATATCGTAGTAGCGAGTGTTCACTGCATCGATTTCTCTGGAACTACTAGAAAGATTATGTTTCCTGTCAAATAAAGTTACATTCTTTAAAATGACGCAGAAAGTTGTAGAATTTAAAATTAAATTATTTTTTTGGATGGAATTAATTTTGGATAAATGAAAAGGTCACAGGTACAGTGCGCGAAAAGAAACGGACCACCCTGAATAACTTCACGTTCTAGGATTCAGTTTTAATAGTTCCGAGGGTGATTTCAAATATGCTAAAAGGTTATTTTAAGTTTCTAAATCAGACACAAAAATTCTCTGAACATTTCTCCTTTTCTACGGATTTCTGACCCAGAAATATAGAAGATCCTCGGTAAAGACAGTGATCCTAAGTTCATTTTACTTTCTGCCTACTTCCCCATATCTCGTCATTTTTTTAAAAACAAATTTGCACACAGTTATTGAATTTTAAATATCTGACTTTATTGAAATTCAATTTTTCAGGAACTATTCATCCGATTTTGCAATATAAAGAATTGTGTACTCTAAAACCCAACATTTTTTTCGAGCATATTATGAAATAAAATAATAGTAAATGTTTACATCTTTGGATAAACGAATTTTATAATTGTGTGCAAAAGTTCTTCAATTAGCTGTTCCCGAGCTATAGCGCAATACTACTCAAAAATTAAGGGATCCTAAACTATTTCCCAGATTGCGGTTACTCCCTATATTCAAGTCAGAGAAAGCTCAAAACATCATCTGCACTAATTAATTAGCATATTTGGAGCCCTTAAACCACACTTTCAAAAATTAAAAAAAGGTCCTACAGAGAGATCTTTCAACAAATCCGGTTTATTTTGAAGAAAAACCCAGATATTAAACTTCTTTTAAGTCAGTTATTTTGACTCTTATTGCATAAATGAGAATTCAATACAGATTACGTTATTCTCTGTTCTATTGAGTCTAGTTCTGTGTTTCCAAAGGTGATGAACGAATCATTTTTATGCTGTTATTCCGGAGAAGTTTTTGTATTTGATTTCGTCACGAGTGCAGTAAATCAAATTGGCGATCACCCCCCGTGAACCATTAAGAGGACGCCATACAGCGAAAGAAAATTTTCCTCTCAAATTCTCTTCATTACTTATTTTAAGTGTAGAAAAAGTGAATTCAGACAAACTAATAAGAGTAAGCCATGAAGCTTCAAGTATTGGAAAGAAAATTTTGAAATATACAAATGAAAATAAATTATGAAATTACTTAGGATTACGCAATAGAGAAGTTCTTTTCTAATAATTTGTTTGCATTTTAGTATTTTTTTTCTCCAGCAATTGAAACTTTAAGACTTGCACAACGCTTGCCTAAGCTTACTTTTTCAATTAATAATGAATTTATTATAATAAATTAATTTATTATAATAATTAATAATAATGAAAGAGAATTTGTGACGAAAATTTTCTTCCCCGGTATGGCGTCCTCTTAAATCAGATTCTTAATTCCTAGTATGTGAAAATCCTATCATTAGACCAAAAGTTATTCAGGGGGTTCTTTTTCGCACCAGGGCCTTGCTTAGGGGATGATCTTTCAAATTTAGGACTGATTTATATTACAAGTCTTTCTTTACGTTTGCTGAATCTTTGATATATTTTAACTGTTCCTTAGATGTTAAAATATATGAATTATAATTAATATTTCAAAATGAATCTTATTTCATTTCAGTTAATGTTCCTTTATGTAAATGTTGAAATAAAATTTTTTTTCTCTTACAACTTTTATGTCATGAAAACATATTACAAATATTTCCTATTTATGAATATGTGTGGGCAATTCCCAAGAACTGTTACAGAAAACATCGAGAAAAGTAAAAACAGGGTTTGGCATGACTAAAAAATATGTAATTAAAAAAACTCGCATGATTTTTTTTTAAAAAAATCATAAATTTAAGCAGTATTGCATTATCTCTATTTAATTTTAAACACGTTTGTTTTGACCCGAATTTACTTCACGAGAATCAGTGATCCGAAACACGGGATTCGAATTAATTTATTTGAATCATTGATTCGTATCCGTGATCTGAATCGTATGATTCACATCACTGATATGAAATCAGCTGTTTCAAATAGTGATCCGAATGACTTCATTTGATTTATGATCCGACTCACATGATTTGTATCACTGATCTGAAATCACCTCATTAGAATCATTATTCGAACAGGGTGAGTAGCAAAATACAGGCATGAAAGTGGACAAAAATAAAAAAAGCTTAACTTTTACAATGCAGGTCACTGGGAGGATTTATAAAAGCAACTTTCAACTATGCTGGGAGAAGCATTTAGACAGTTAACTTTAAATTTTTCTTAAATATAATTTTAAAATTGTGACCACTACTATATTAAAAAAAATTAAACAATTATTTCAAAATCACGTGAATATGAATCGCGATTTTAGATTTTATTAATCGCGTGAATATGAATCGCGATATTGGATTTTAAAATCGCGTGAATACGAATCGCGATTTTGAATTTTAATATCGCGTGAATATGAATTTAAAATCGCATGAATATGAATCGCGATTTTGGATTTTAAAATCGCGTGAATATGAATCGTGCGGTTGGATTCAAAAATCGCATGAATATGAATCGTGCGGTTGGATTTTAAAATCGCGTGAATATGAATCGCGATTTTGGATTTTAAAATCACGTGAATATGAATCGCGCTGTTGGATTTTAAAAACACGAAAATACAAATCGCGTAATTAAGAATCGCAATGAGTAATTTTTAAATAGCGTACAAATAAGAAAAGCGATATCTGATATTAATCGCGATGCTGGATTTTAAACTCGCGAGAATACAAATCGCGATATTGGGTTTTAAAAAAGCTGAAATACAAATCGCGATATTGGATTTTTAAATTGAGTGAATAGGAATCGCTAGTACGGCATTTAAATCGCAACACGTAACTTTTAAATCAGTTAAATACGAAAATCAATGATTGATATTAAAATCGTCTGATTAAAAATCGCGATTTTAGCAGATTCCGAATATTTAAAATTCCGAAAATCAGCCAAACAAAAGAAATCAAATATCGGCGGTCGGAAACGAAACGCTTAGACTCCTTTCCACTCTATAGCGGAAGTCGCGGTAATCCGACTATCGTTCGGGAGGCTTGGGTTCTCTAATTGAACTCCCCAAAAATTTTAGTTTTTGGAACATGGTCGGAAATTTTAAAAATTGGGAGAAAAAAGCGGATTTCCGCTTTTTCGTGGAAGTCTTTCATCTCTCAACAAAAAATAAGCACTTTTTAAGTACTCAAAAAATATTTTTAAGCACTATATACATAAACAAAATAATTTTATGACTTTACATGATCATGATAAAATAATTATTCATGACAA